TAGAGCCAGGGTCTGTCCGAGGTTTCTGCCTTTTAAAAGAAAGTTTTTCCTTGCCGCCGTCGCCAAGTGCTTGCTCATGGTGGGAACTGTTGGATCTCTAGAATAGATAATATAAAATAATTTTAAAATCAGTACGGTCTATACCTGTTCTATTTGAAAAGTGTCCTGAGATAACTTTTGTATGAATTGCCGCTATACAAATAAAATTGAATTGAAAATACAACAAATGCATAAAAATACAAACACAGCCCCCAACCATGAGACACAATACACAAATCACAACACCACAAAAACAAAAACGTCTGCATCCATTAAACTGTATATTGGATCCAGTTCATAAACCAAGTCTACAATCCACATACAGCCAGAGGAATTTATGTATCATATGTTGAGTTTCTGCTCCTTCAGTATCTAATGTTTTAGAAATAAAATAAATTAATTTTACCTCATTTAGCTCACAATATTCTTCCACCGTCAGTCACATATCCGATAGCTAATATAGCAATCCCTGACTTTGAGGCAAATTATCACAAAAAACACATTTTCCACATTTATATTCTTCCTTTAATAAACAATAAGTTCTCAGTTGCGGCTTTGACTTACGTCTTTATTCAGTGTAAACAATCTTAAATAGTGTTATAGCATCGAGGGTGGGAGAAGGTGGAATGTTCTTTTGTAGCATTTGACCTGGACTTCCTTTAAATAAAACGTTTATTATGAGGTTGTAGTTTGCAGTGCCGAAGAGGGAAGAATAATAGAAAAATATGTATGATAATGCAAGCCAGCATAATAACACCAGCAATTGTCCTTGATTTCAAGGAATCAGTAAATTGATCAAGAAATGTATTTACCATTATACAACATAAGACTATATAATTAAATGAGTGTTGTAGTTCCTTGTTGTTGCTACACACATAGAAAAAGTTATTCAAATTCATAAAATTACATAAAAGATAAATAGGATAGAAAAATATCTACAGTTATTTATATGCATATATACATGTTAGAGATGTCTGTGTTGGTTTCCCATTTATAGAGCCAGGGCTTTGTACAGACACACCGTGAGGAGACATTCACTGAATTTAACAAGTGGATCATCACATACCCTACCTTTAAAAGCTTGCACCAAATTTCAGTTTAGTCCACACACTCCAAACTCTATGTTCGAAATATTAATAATCTATGAAAAGAGAAGTATGTTGATTTTAGCCTTGGCTGGGACAGCTGAGAGAGAAAGTGAGCATTTCCCCTGACAGCAAAGACTGTACAGGAGGACGGGTCTAATGGTCTGGTCTCCATCCATAGATGAGAGAACTCAGACATCTGGGGAATGTGATAATACAAATATACATAACAATTTGGAAGCGCACAAATATTATTCCGTGTAGGACCTTTGAGAGGGATATGAGCAGCGGGTTGTGTATAGTTGAGCACACACTGAGGCCCAGCTGTACCAGATGCCAGCCAGTGGTGTTACAGCTTAACGGGCTTGAAAGCTTTTTGCTGTGAGGCTGGACCTGGCTGCCATACACACCAATATAGGAAAAATAACTGCAACATCAAAGCTGGAAAAAACACAAACTGGCATAGGCTTTGTTCATAAGATCAGACATTTGGGATTCTAGCAACATGCTTTCTCTGTCAACAAAAGTCTTTCCATCTGCCAGACTTTGCAAGGTCTTCGAACGGAAAACAACAAAACAACTCGAATGAGGACATTAGTAAATGAAGACCCAAACCACAAAATGGATAGCCAACCCTTGTGTTTCTGAATTGGTGGATGATGGTGCGTGCCTAGTTGGGTAGCAACACAGCTACATATTTTCTCTCCAGACACATCACCACCAGTTATAGAGGGGAGATCCAGTTGTGAGGTTTGCTGAACATGGTGAGAGCACACCAACACGGATACGACATTGTTACTCTCAAGCAGCCAGTAGGTACAGTCATTGGGAAACTCCATAAAATCCTCGGTACCTATGGTCGTCAAAGGGGTCTTCTGGTCTGTCCTCGGAGGTGTGTACACCTGGAGGCTGCTGTTATTATGTTGTTGACATTAGTTAGGGTTTTCAGCCTGGTAATATGGCTCCATTGGGTGGAATTATAAGAAGCCATAAATCTCCTTTCAACTCCTATTGGCGGATGACTCAACAGCTGTAACTTGCTCTTAAAATCTAGGGACTCCAACATCTCTTTCTGGTTCCTGTCTTTGAAGACATCAGAAACTGGATGGCAAAACCAACTTCCTCCAGCTTAAAA